TGCAGATAAAAATTACTTTTACATTTAATTTTTATGACCCCAAAAAACTGTCACGATAAGTAATATACTAAATATTATAATTCATATTTTTTTTTATTTAAAAAAAATTGAGGCACACTCACAAACACATACACATACATAGACGCGCGCGTATACCCATAAATTAAATAAATAAGAACAATCAAAATTTTTGATAGCACCAAATTAAAATTAAAAAAATGCACACACAAGTCAGATATTGTTATTAATTATTAAATAATATGAAAAGTTAAATTATTTAGAAAACTGCAGATAAAAATTGTTGCTTTTACATTTAATTTTTACGACCCCAAAAAACTGTCACGATAAGTAATATACTAAATATTATAATTCATATTTTTTTTTTTATTTAAAAAAAATTGAAGCACACTCACAAACACATATACATACATAGACGCGCACGTATACCCATAAATTAAATAAATAAAAACGAATATATGATTAAAACTAACGTGTCGAACGTCACCACGTAACTTGACAGTGCACGAAAACTTAATGACGAAAGTACCAGAACGATACTCTGTTTTAAATTGTCGTAATTTCACTGTGACTGGATAACAGTCGTCGAATGAGACGAGTCATCGTCTTCTTGAACACGATCCTGAGTACTTAAGTATAATAAGTATAACAGATACGAAAGCATAGATAAAACCTTCTCTCTTTCCTTAATAATAATTCACAAAATTATTATAAAAGAAAAATTATTATTTTATTAAGCAAATTTTAATCATTACATTATCATTTTATTATTGTTTTTTTTTTTTTTATATATAATCGTATATTTCAATATAGAATAAAAATAAAATGAAATTTTTGTATTATTATTTTTTAGAAAAAAAAAAAAAAGAAGAAAAAGAATTCGGTCACAGGGTACCTTTTTTTTTCGTAAATGAAAAATAAAATTTTTTAATAAATAACAATAAATCGTTCCTAGAAATAGCAATAAAAATAAAAAGCTATTATAAGAGAACAAAATTCTAATAAAATGAGGAAGAAGAAGAAGAAAAATAAAATGTTAATAAGAAATGAAGAATCCTATTTACTTTTTCAAACTCTTGTCTTATAATTTTTCTTCATTTTTTCTTTTCTTTTTTTTTCGTTTTAAATGATTTTTCTAAATCTCTTTTAATTGCATTCACATTTCTTCTAGTTTGCTAATTTTCCTATCTTTTTTTCTCTCTTAGGAGATAAAATGATAATAAAACTGACAAAGATTATTCCTGGTATAAGAAAAAGAATAAGAAGAAGAAGAAAACTAAGAATAAGAAGATAAGAAAACACAGAGAAATTTAATTTCGCAAATATGGGACCCATTTCTATTTTTTTTTTTAAATTTTTCTGATACTAAAAGGACAATCACAAAAAATTCAATGGATCATCCAATGGTTTCTTTTACATAAGAT